TGTTTTCGGGTCGGCTCGACTCGGTTTGGTCGGGTCTTCGGTGGGCGGTTAATTTGTGCCCAAACCTACCTGCATCGGTGGATTGAGGGCTCGACAGTGGATCGAGCGATGCAACGGCGGATCAAAGCGGCAACGAGCTCGACACTACATGGCACTCGAAGGCGGTGTCAAGCACGAATCCGTTGTCATCAACTATTTCGCCACTAGGTCCACCGCTTCCCGTTGGCTTCCGCTAAGCGGTGCAAGTTGGGCTAGCGCGTCGGGGAGCTTCCCAATGGCAGCATGGAGTGGGGGCTACAGCCGCCGTCGAAATCTTTCGAGACTTCACTGTCGGATCCTCTGCCTGTTCCAAGGCTACACCAGTGCCTTTCCCAACTTTTTTTTTTCAGACGAGGTACTAGTGTTCCTACAAACGTCAGAGGGCCCACACCTTCTCTCCTCTACCACATTACACAGCCTCGGTATAGCCGCAAATCCACTCGACTGTGTGGTGCACTATGAAGAACAATTATTCTAATTCATTGCTTGATTAATAATAGAGTACTAAGGGGGTTGACTTGACATCGAAGTGCGGAAACTAAACCATCCCCATATCCCTAACAAACCACATCTCTTCCCTAGATAATCTCTTGCCTTTATTAGTTTTGTTCCTAATTTGCTAATTAACCTTCTAAATAGAAGGGCCTAGCCCACTGCCATAACAATAAGGAACATGCATGGAGCAAGATGAAATAAGTGGTAATGAGAGGCCAAAGCACGAGCATTAAATATCAAAATGACATCAGTTGGAAATTTATTTGATACCTGCTCTACGGCCATTTGCATCATAATGTACACGTACGACCACTTGACTTCACCGTTGGTTTCAGCGATAAAAGAATGGAGTACAAAGTAGATTTTTGCTTTTCATTCAGCATAAAATGATTTTGAAAGTGTTACTTCACTAGTATGGCACTAGGGCCTTTTAACATAGTGACGACTGTTTAATTGAAGTACTCATATTCGATATTACTATTGAATAAGGAGAAGGAAACATGAGGATGAATAATTGATACAAACATCATAACACAACATACTTTATGAAAATACCAAGATCAAATGAATTGATTAGATGTTTCGTTTGAAATTATATTCCAATTTCTATTTAATTCCAGTAATTTATAGTTGTACTCTCATGTAGATGGACAACCCTACCTGGCCAAAACATAAAGACATGAAACCCTAGCCTAGTCCATGAGGCCACGACACCCACAACCTTAATCCTTAGTCTAGTCGGTTGGCTCGACTCAGACTGGAGCCATGTAACTCCTTTCTGCCTCATGTCGTGTATGTCGGCTCCTCCACCAAAGTACGTGCCTTCACCATCTACTTCGGCGTCCCCTTCTTCCCCTTCTCCTCCCCTTTCCTAGCATGTCTGCCATTTCCCTCTCTCCCTACCCCCTCCATGGTACTGAGTTGTTGGCTGGACCACTAGATCTAGTTTCCTTGAGTTCTAAGGCCAACAGATCCACATGCCTCGAGCTCCCCTATAAGCTTAAGGAGTGGCAGAAGACCGTCTGTCTTCATCGGTCCCACCTTTCAGTTGGTGGTGGTAGTGATCACCGCCACCACCATTATCTCTTTTCAAAGGAGTAGAGATATGAAGTTACTTTCGAATAACTACAATTATGCTATCAAAACTATCGGATTACTGCCACTTTAGCCAGTCACTTAAAAAACCAAAATAATAATTGACAAATTTATGAAACAATACAACTTACTTTGTCTAGTAGTTCCAGGCCCACCTACTAGACACATTTAAAGTACTCATAATTTAGGCAATCTTTGTTCTGTCGATTTCTCTTTGTTTGCTGATTAGTTTCCCCTTTATTCCTCCCCTTCCTCTACTTCCCTGTTGAGTAGAATGTACTCTTCTACACTCTTCGTCCCTAGGATTATGCATGTTTAATTTGTCGTCATGCCTTGTGTCGCCATACCTTATGTCGCGTTACCACTTGAACAACCATGATTCGCATTACATTTAAAATTATGATGTGAACCAATGGTACCAACCTTGTACATTTAAACAGGGGCATGAAACAATTGGGGCGGTCTTTAATTATCTAGAAAACAAACCTTGTCGATGTGCAAGTCTTCTTGGTTACTCCGTTTCATTCAATTCCCATGTAGTTTTGGACCCTTAAATTTCTATTTAGATTTGTGCTATACAAAACCAAGGTAGGCACAACCCGTCAATCTTTTCATGTGTGAACCTATTCCAATCACACTTAATACACATATGTCCATAACAGTAAAAGAAAATAAATTGCAACTAGATTGTAGAGAGAACAAGAAAGCTACCTCATTGTTGAATTCAGTGCAAAATGGACTTCCCTTTATAGCTTATACTTTATCAACAAAGCATAAAAAAATCTAGTGAAGAAAATCGCAAATCAATAGATCAACTTAATACACACGTCCATAACAATAGAAATTCAAAGATTGCAGGTAGCTTGTAGAGATAACAAGAAAGCTACCTCATGGTTGCTCCACCAGTTTACCGGTGAACGAAAGCAAGAGTCAAACTGTGTTGGGTTATGCCCAATAATGGTGGCAGTGGCATTATGCCGAGCTAGTGATCAAGGTGCGTCGCTGCTACGCCAACGTCTGGTAGAGGATAGACCAGCGCCTGACAACGTAGGCATCTACGGAGTCATGGAGGTGAGGCATGGCAACACAAGGATTAGATTGATGCATGCGTTTGAAAAATTTCAAGCGAGATGGTATATTGGTTTTGATAGTACCTTGGTGTTAACAGTAAATTTGGTAAGCCCCAAAGATGCCATCGGCCTAAAATCAATATCGGCTTCAAAGTTCTGGAATCGGCCGATGGGAGTTATCAAGTCGCCAGCGGTTAGATTCTTGGAGGATTCGGTTAAGAAAATTAATCTATTCAAGGAAACTTATCCAGAAGTGACCGAGTTCAAGGAGGATGCGGCATATTTTTTAGGGATGAAAATGGTACGAAAACGGACGAAAACCACCTTTATCGTTTTCGTTTTCATATTTTTTCGGAATTAGAATCGGAAACCACGGATACGAAAACGGAATTGAATTTATCGAAACCAAAAACAGAGCAAAAACGAACCAACGCGGTTACAATAACAAAAATTTTTCAGAATACAAAAAACCATCAAACCGAGCTTGAAACTTCGATGGACAAACTTTAAACAGTGGGAGATGAGGCGACGTGAGATCTGGATGCGTCGCTTCGCCGCCCGGCTCTGGAATCTTCAATGTCTCTCTCTATCCCTCACTCTTTACTCTCTAAGTCTCTAGGTTAGGGGAGGTATTATGGACTATGGGAGGTATTATGCTGAATTGGGCGACTGGGGAGGTATTATGGACTATTGTAATGTATGGGCCTGTAACTTCGAAAATTCCGACTTCCGACGGAAACTGCTCGTCATATTTGATTCCGTTTCCGATAAAATATTTTCGAATTCGTTTCCGTTTCTAAAAAATTCCGAAAAAAATCCGACCGGTTGATTCCGTTTTCAAAAACAAGCTCGAAATCTGGAAATATTTCATACTGTTTTCATCCCTACAGTTTATCTATTAATATGTCTTTTTGTTTCCTTTTATCTTTAGGAAAGTGTGTCTAGTGTCCGATAAGAATATGTACACCCTGGGGTCATGTAAACTATCTCACAAATTAATACAACTACTCTTGCCACATCACCACCCTCTTTTCCAAGGTTTTATTTATCATCCGACGAAACTTGGCTTCTGACGCGGGGCTGCATCGGCTTTCGATCTCTGGCAAAGTGGTAAGTTCTAAGTTCTGCCGGCCCTGGCAATCGTATTGGCTACATTGGCGTCGTTCAAGACTGCATCGCTTCCACCTCTTGGATTGCTCTGGTTCGGTTGATATATTTGCCTACCTATTTATCATATATTTTAGTTAATCTAGTTTAGCATATTAATTTACTAGATTAGGGCCCTGTTTGGGGGAGCTTGTCCCAGCTGTAGCTTTTTCCAAAAGCTGCTTTTGCTAGAAGCAGCCCCAAACAATCCACAGCTTCTGAGAATGAAAAATGAACTAAGAAGCCAGAAGCTGGGTTATAGAGCTTTTCCAGATTCTCAGAAGCTGGCTACCAAACAGCTGCTTCTCAGAATCTAAAGCTCCCCCAAAAAGGCCCTAGATTAACCTTATCCACCACCCTGAAAAATAGTCAAAGGCTTGATTGTTTAGACTTTATGCTTTTTTGCGTACTTTGCGATGCATTATCCCTGGTCGTGCTTAGAATCATAAAAGCTAACATGTTTTTGATTATAATAAGGGTTTCATCGGAGTTTCAGCCGATGAGTTAAATGGACGTTGCATCGGCTTACAAGGATTACATACAAGTTAGTTTTAGCCGATAAAAACAAAGATTTCACTGTTTATCTAATCTTGTGGATCTTACGACATCGAACCTCCAATCAATGTATGCTTTAACATTTGGATCAGTGTTAGCCGATCGGTTTCTACTGGATTATTTTGTTATTTTATCACATCATCATCAGCCGATTGTCTTTATATCATTATTTACGTCAAGTGTCAGACTCTACATCAAACATATAGCCGATAGCTCAAAACCGATATCGGCATCGGCAGCCGATAGACTCTTTGATCTGCTATTTGTATATCTTGTCAGTTGCAAGATTAAACTGACTGGCACGCCCACATCTCATCAACCTTTAGACCTGCACTGAAGTTAAGAAGATCTCCTAGGCAATTGTGTTCGACTTAGTTCGCGACAACACAGTTCCGGCACCATCGGCCGAGCGCGAATTTTTCGTCAACAGCTGGGCATATCGCAAAAGTATCCTAGATATGTATCAGGTTGTATCCGATATGTATTTGTATAAGACTACGCATCTAATACGGATGCGTGAGCTGAGTCGTATCCGTGTATCCTATTCTAGGAGGCATATCATAATGACGGGTTGTTCATAACAATGAAACATTTCCATAGTTAAAAAAAGTACCCGGGGCATATCGCACAAATGTCCTGGATACGTGTCAGGTTGTATCCGATACATATATCCGACTATGCATCTGATACGGATATGTATCCGCATATCCTATATTAGGAGGCATATCATAAGGACGGGTTCATAACAATAAAACATTTCCATAGTTAAGAAAAGTGCTAGGCAATCTAAGAGGTAATAGGCAAAATTACACTTTTCTAGTCCCATTGTCTTTAACCGAATCCACCACGATCTACATGTCCATGACATGTTAGGCTCGATCTCCAGGTAAACCCATCAGATCCCAACCGTTGTAGATGTTCAACGCTACCTTCTTATGTACTTGTTTCAGGCAAGCACGGAACGAGTTCATTAGCATGGTCGGCAACAAAATAGCATTTCTGTACCAAGGAGTGCATCTCACGATCAAGCATTGCCTCTTCATCCAAACCATCTAGGTGTTGGCTAAGTTTGCCCCACACAAGGGACATGTCACTTTGCATCTTTGTTATCAATACTTCCGCCGTGGCCTTTCGATGGAAGCTGCTCAACTCCTCAATCTCCACAAAATCGATAACCTCTGTTTTGAGCCTTTTCACTTCACGAATCTTACTTTGAATGAGTTCAAGTGTGGATTCATACTCCACCAGCTTGATTTGTTCGTCTGAATTTAAGAGTAAAGGAAGGGATACATTACAAGACAAGGCACATATAAGAAATAAAGGTAAAGTCAACTATTGACCCTTGAAATTTGTTCAAAGGCCATTTTTACCCTAAACTACAAACCCGTTTATCACAAGGTGGTTTTAATGGATTTGATAGTGGTCTCAAGGTGGTGGACCGAATGAAGTGACATTTGCATCAACAAAACGAACATTAAACGAGGAAAACCACCATTTTGAACAAAACCACTTAAAAACATGTCCTATGACATATTTTGTCTGGTTTTGTTGTTCAGGGTGAAAATGGAGTTCGAGAAAAGTTCAATGGATAAGAATTCAATTTACCTGATAAATAAACACCACCTTTTGGCCTTTTGTGTGGACTAGAAAGCTCCCTATTTTGTTCCATTTGTTTGAAAACATTGGATTCAATTGCCATTTTAGTTTCCTTTTCCACAATAAGACTTGGTAATTTTTCCGCCCTTTGGAAGGCCATGCCCCTAATTTAGGAAAAAGGAACTCCCATTAGTCATAAGAGCAAGCCAAAATGAATCCTCCTTTACCACTAGATAAACTTCACATTCATCCTTATAGGTATAACATGAAGCAAAGAAAATTACATCTCCAGAGAGGGCACTCGAGTAGAAATCAAGCTATCTTGTTCTTGCTTCAGTTCCTCAAGTTGCGAAGCGAGCTCGAAATATATTTCAACGCTACGGGCAAGGAACTATTAGAAGGCAATGAGTTAGTTGAATCGTAAGGCGAATCCTTAAGGCCAAAACAAAGCTTCCAATGCAAACCTCATTCATCAAATACTTGGTAGTAGCAACTTCGTCATCCAAGAATTCAAATTCACACTTTCTTTTCCTTTTTATACTAACTTTTGGGGTAGCCACCTTCTCACTCCTCATCTCAGGGATGTCCTCCTTGTTACGCCTACTCTTGTGTTCCTTATTATTCATTCTAGTTTGACAAGATGCAATGCAAGTGCCAGCTTGACTTGAGATGTGTGTTGGCTTTTTAGAGACGTTAAATTGATCCTCATAAGACTCTTGGCTCTTGGTATTTGCCTGTCGAAGAAAAGGAGCATGACTGGCGCTTTACATCACGACAAAATGTAAAAAACCATGTGGTATTATGGAAGAATGGGATCGGAGGGTTCTCATGATTGCAAAGATCCCAAGTCCAGTGATAAGTTTGCTAACACTAAGGATGCTCTTAGTACCAAAATGTTTCTTCGATTAAAATTACTATAGGGTAAAATCCTAGTTAACCCTTATGTTTGGCATAAAAACATGCAAAATTAGGAATATAATATTCCAATCTAAGGTTTTCGTATTGTTTGTCATATATTGGTAATGACTCCATCGAAGGTAGTTAATCTGCTTAGTTTCCGACAAACTTGCCAACCCTCTGAGTTTGTGCACTAAAAATCCAACCATTAAGATTATGGGGCAATGTTAAGATTACCACTAAATCTCTTTTCAGTACAACCAAACACGCTCCATAAGCATGCAAGGGATGAGATTATCAAGCATCTGGTTGCATCGTCGGACATTAGACAACTCCTTTAGACAAACATGATTGTCAAGATGCCACTTTGACTACTTAGTCAAATAACACAAGTTTGAATTATTCTAATTATGATTTATTTGTTGTAATGTTTTAAGTATTACTTGTAAGGTGTACTCTGATTTTGATATGTTGAAAGTGCCCAAACAACCCCTTTTAGGGCTTCTTTGTGTGCGGAACACTCAAGCGAAATAACATGAGCAAATACGCAACAAGTACTTGAATAGTGGTGCATATGTTGGCAATCATGCTGACGAGCATAGGCGATACCTACCACGGCTTAGTTTCTAGTTGCTATATTGTGCTTATATTTTAAGTTGTGCAAATTGAACTTATAATCGTTGCAGTTTGCTTTGAAGATGGCTATATGTTAAGTCACCTAACTTTTTTTTGTCAGTCAATTTTGTTTGGGTTAATTGGATCCATGCCACTACGAATATGCCAAATTAAAAATATCCCACTACTATTCGCAATATTGGCTAGGTGCCACTGAAATCTTGTAAAATCATAACCATGCCATCGCCATCCACTATTGTGTCTTTCCCCGTTAGATCCGCATCATCCTCCATCTATGGCGTGCGCCGACCAGCATCGAGGCCGAGTGTCGCCTTCTCTGCGCACCCAAACCGCCACCGCTCCAGTTGCTCGTTGCTGGCGAGAGAAGCCTCGCCTGGCCACACCGTTGCTCCTCGCGTCGCACCACACCATGGTCGCCCCTTCTTCCTCACCAACCGTCGCCTAGAATAGCTCCTTTTCTCACGGAGGTGAGTTCGCCTCTCGCCGTCGGACTACAACCATGTTTTTCTCGCCGCTCCGACCATGCTCTCTCCCCTTAACCCTTCCACCTTATTCGCTAGATCGAGATCCCGAGCGCCGCTTTCCTGAATCCGAAGTCCGCCAGAACTCCACCGTTACCGTCGCACCCGAATGCCATCGCTGCTTTCCTTGCTTCCGAGCTGCTTCGTCGTCGTCCTTTGCCGGTGTGCGCTCACCGGTTCTCTCCCTCACCGCCTCTCCGCTGCTTTCCACCGCTTCACGCATCGCCTCTCGCCGCAAAAAGTTGGGCGGCTGGCGCTGCGTGCAGTGCGAGCGAATCTGATGGTGGCGGTGTGCTCGTCGTTGCGATGGCAAGGTCTCGGAGATGGCAGCCGGACGACAAGGATAGAAATTAACGGGGATGACAGAAAAGTGGATGGAAAACGCGATGGAGTGGCATGGTTACAATTTTACAAAATTTCAGTAGCACCCAGACAATATCGCAAATAGTAGTATTTTTTTTTTAATTTGGTATATTTGTAGTGGCATGGATCCAATTAACCCATTTTGTTTCCACTATCTTCTAGCAACCTTGCATCTCTCACTTAGTTGCAGTCTCCAGTGGTGACAAGCTTCCACAGCTTCACACCACATTCCTCTACTCCAACGGTTGTCGCTAGACCCACCCAATGCAGACAGCCCATTGCTAGCTTTCCTCGCCTATGATTCCAAAATACTCCCATCGCTAGGCTATTTTCATAAGCGCCAACAAACTTTACCATTCCATCCCTCAAGGAGAAGCTATGCCTCAACAGGGAATTTATTAGGAGAAATAGGAGGTGCATTTGGTCTCGAGCTAGAAGAAAACTATGGGCCACTAGATCACGATCCAACAAATGTCGCAATCAACTAAGAGAAATCTCAATTGACTGCAGGTAGCAAAGATGTTTATTTTCACAAATTATATTATGATTATAAAATATGCCATGTCTCTTTAGCACCCAATAATCTCATTTAACTCCTTCCTAAATTTAAGCCTTCATAAAAACATAACTTTTTTCTATCCTCTCTTGTTCCTTTCCCTTGTCCATAATTTTTTTAGGATTGTCCACAAATGTTTTCACAATGAATAAACAACTTGTTTTCCAATGCAAACTAAATAAGAAGGCAAAGGTCCACATGTCAACCACCCACACTAACTCCCTACTCTTTATGGAAAGAGAAATGATACTATAGGGCTCAGAGGATTGACATACATACATACATACATACATACAGAAAATGATGGTAACACTAGGTTAAAAATATTTTTTTAATTAAAATACCATTGCAACGCATGGGCAATATGCTAGGTTGGACTTCTAAAATCCAATAAAATGAAATTCCTTTGGAATGGTTGAGACATGGGGATTTTGAATGACTTTTAACATAAGGTCTAACCTCATTGGCATTTTCCCCTAGTCTATAGCTTTTCTCATATTCCAGTTTTTACTAGTGGTCTTATCCAAATGTTCGTACCTATATCTTGTCTTTTGCACACGGTTCCAAATAAAAACACTACATTTTCCTATTCATGTAGAAACTAGGGTTGGCAACGGGGCAGGGCGAGGCCGAGTTAGTCGAGAACGTCCCCACCCCCGACTCATACCCAACCCCGACCCCGGCCCTGAGCCGAAGAACGGGGCTAATAAAGTCCCCAGCCCCAGCCCTGAAAGGGAGGTGGACGTTCGACAGGATGGTGCTAGGCAACAAGATGGAAGGCCAGTGCTCGGCGACGTGCTGCTAATGCGCTTTTTTTATGGGCCACCTTCCTTGATATAGATTTTCGGCGACCCATAGGGTCCCCCTTGGGTGGATTTGTTCCCCCAACCCCATATCACCCATGGGTGAAATATTGTCCTTCCTTGTGTTAAAAGCAAGGTTTCTAATCCTAGTCTGTTGAAAGGGTTATTGAGGTTATGCAAGTTTGGTTACATTACCTGCTTTAGCAAAAGAGTTGCATATTTTGAGGTGTATTTTGGCCAATTAATAAACAGCCTTTAGCACAATGTAGTTACAAAAACACAAGTGTCATATTATTAGCAAAGTAATAATAGCTGTCTTTATTTTCATGTACCTGAATAACAATATCTTCATATGTCCCTAGGGATCCTCCCTTTCCAGCAATACTTACTAACCTGAAAAGGAGAAAGAGTGCAAGTAAAAAGAAGGAACAGAGAAATAGTAAGATCACATTTACTTATTAGCAAGATAGGTACAGCATTTGCCACTTGCATTATACTACAATAAATAGTGGCTATACGAACAAAATAGTGCAAGAGACATAAAATTATTTTCGTTGATGAAAAAGCTTAACAGTATTGAATAACTTCAATCATGTCTTTTGAATTATTAAGTAGCACAGCCTTAATATAAATATCATGTGTGAGTAGTTTAAATTAAGTCAGCAGAATCAAAGGGAGATGCCTCTTTTCTGCCCCACTATTCACAGGGCAAGGAGAGCTCTTTGATGTTTTTTCCATAAGAATAGAAGAGCCCAGTTGATTTTCTTGCAATTTCGCAGCTTCTGAACTGATTAAAACAGAAGCAGCAGCCCTAACAATAGGTGATTCATATTGCAGATCCACTCTCAAGTTATTTGTTGCACACTCGTGCTCTAGAAGATTATGATCCATTTGCTTATTACTAAAAGGTACTTCTTGACTTTGATCACCTTCTTCCCTACTTATAGGTACTTCTTGACTTTGATCACCTTCTTCCCTACTTGGTTTTGTTGACAGCTCAGCAGATTCTGGTGAAACCTCATCGGTGTTCCTTATATCAGTAACTTTAACCTTTTTCCTAGCAAGATCTTTTACTCTCTCAATTTGTGGGGCTGAAGGGAACTTTATATGATCCCTACAAGGTGTTCTAAAAGTAGCATCAATGTCATGGTCCCTGCAAGATTTGAAAACAAGTTATTTTTTTCAACGATGCAGAAGCCAGCAGATAGAAAGAACTTTGGAGAACACATCAGAACTTACAGGCAGTAGATGAATATTTTAGGATCTCCTTTGGGAACCTCCCAAACACGTGCTGTGACATCCTTCTTTTTAAAAGAAATTTCCCTAAGTAATATAACGAATATCATGATAAAATGAGAAGACAACAGCCATACAAACTAATGAACCAAAAGGAACCAGTCTGGATATTGTAACGTACCTTGGCAAACATTTTTTGTGATATGACCTTACACAACGTCTACAGACTGCAAGCCACAGTTGTGTTTGGGACCTGTCCTCGATTTGTTTACATTCAAAGCACCAATGCACCGGACATGTAAATGTCATTCCATCTGCAATACGTTTCTCCAATCCACAAGCTCCATCAGGCTCAAGTAATCCTGCCACACACTTGGGATGGTAGAAGCGCCCACAAGATGCATTACAACACTGGAATACCTGAAGCGATGCAGAGATAAGAAACATAAGACTAAGAGGCAAGAGTAAGATAGTCCATGTGCATTACACCTTAAATAATTGGATAATCGACCAAAGGTGCACGATATAGAAAGCACATGAATGAAATCATAAAACAAGGAACTACACAACTCATATACACTATTTTGTCATGCAAATTTCCCACAACACAAGGGGTTTTCATCTAGTTAGATTTATATATAATGAGTAACTTGTAAGGGAAGCCTCAGAAAATAGGGTTAGACGAAGCTTTTCTTGCCAAGAGTCATTCAATCATTATACACCATTATTCTTGACACCGAAGGGCCATGCAGCTCACGAGCAACAATGACATGCACAAGAGTGCAAAGAGAAGAAGAAACGAAGAAAAACAGCAGCAGTTGCTCACAAAATAATACCAGATGAAGACATCAAGGAAGAATAAGATATAAAATTCCTTTTACAATTAAAACAAGGCATCATATGTATGTAATATTTGAATAAAAGACACACATCATCTAGGGAACCTCAAGGCATGAAGAAACAGATACTGTAGTAAGAAAGGAAATATGAAATAAACAACAAACAAACTTGGAAGAAAGCAAGCATTGCTTCCGAAAGGGAACTGCATTTGCTACAACAAATGGGCTCAACATACCACAGTTCCACAATCATGCAAGGAGGATTAGATATGTTACCTTTGGATTTGTCTCATGCGAAGAATCAAGCTGTCCACATTTGAAACACTGGTGTTGCTTATGTTGGCAGTTCGAGCAAATAAAAATAGGTATTTCCTATTAATATGCATAAATGCCATTATCACCAACTTGAGAAAGGAAGTGGAAACAATAAAAGTGCAGCAATAGTCATAGATACTTTGAAAATCTACCTCTACTTCACGAGAAGTGTAACCAAGAGTTTTGCAAAAAGATTTTGTGCCATCTTCTAGCTTGGGATGGAAAGACCTCTTGCATTCACCTTTACAGCTGCATGAAACCATTATGGTGAGGAATGGAAGCACTCAGAAAATTTCATGCCAATGGTTATATAGTGGTCCCATGGCACATAAAGGAAGTTCAAAAGCAGCTGATTCAACGGATTCTTTAGAAAGAAAGGGAAAAATAAACAAAGTTATGGTTAAGAGGAAGCTGCAACATGAAAATTACAAACTTTCATTCCATCCCCATCAGTATCTAAGGTAAGCATGAATGGAAACTCCCAACCATAAATGTTGCAAAAAGTCTTGTTCAAGTTTGAATTTGTATGAAACAGATCAAATACAGTTCTTTTTGAGAGAAAAATACCATGGTTCTACATTTTATAGCTTGGCAAAAAAAAAAAGATTTTTAGGAGACAGATCAAAAATAAGAACTGCTCTAAATGAGAACGGAAAATAAGATGAGCAAGCTATATCACAAGAAGAAAGTTTTACATTCTCCATATAAAATAATTTATTAGTTTCATTTTATATTGTAGACTGATCAATATTTAGTTAGGTAATTAGGTTCCATTGCAACACATGGACATGATGCTAGTAATTGTGATATATAGCACTTAGTACCTATGTTTATATCTATCTACTCGTCATCTAAAAATACTTTCAATAAGCAGCAGAGTTGAGTGACATTAAGAAATGTTTATCCTATTGCAATAAAAGCACCTACATTACACACATTAAGGTTAGGGGAACCATACATAAACAAGTTTGTGCTTGCAGGACAACCCGAATACTTTTTCTTGACCTATGCTTGTTATAACTTCTATATGTTTCTCCAAAGTCATCTGATGCGTAACTCCATTTAATAGCTTTTGTTCATCAGATGACTTGGAGAAAAAGTTTGTCGTGTACTAAATTATGTGACCATAATGAAGAGTACAACTTCCATTAATCACTTCTAAATAGAGTAGGAATAATAAATTCAGATCAAACCAATATATTTGATTGACAAAGCTCCAATCTACAATAATGCCACCATGAAGTCTAGAACTACAATATGCTACCAGTAACTCATTTTCTTAAACGCTGTCGTAAGTAATCAAGAGGTAGTCAATCTGCATTTGATAGGGTGAAAGGCCCATTTTTGTGCCAGAATACTACCACGACGTATTCTGGATTATCACATAAGATTATTTTATGAAACTACCAGCGAGGTATTATACTTTTTCTTAGAAGAAGTTTTCTCGGATACCAACGCTTTTTCTAGGAAGAAAATGAGCAAATTTTAAGCGTAAAGTGAAAAATGTAATATTTACTTGGTTGACTACGGGAATGACATATTAGGTACATGTTTTATTTAGTTCTGCATTAATTCAGGCATATCATTGAATCTGTTTTTCTTTTAAAAGCCCACAGAATCAGATATCTGAATATGACTCAGATACTAAGTCCCGTGCAAGTGTCCAAGTAACAGTAAAATAATATAGAAATTGTTTGGTCAATTTAAACAAAATACAGAACTGCCCATACCCAAGTAGAATTCCTCCTTGATCGCATATTGCGCACACTGCCTCAGTACCATCATCACTGGCATTACCATCAGTATAATTATCACCATTATCATCACTACTGCCACTGCTGCCATCTTCAGTGTAGTCATCACAGTTTGTAGATGACTCATTGCTCACAATGAATGATTCATTCGGGCTGGCTTTCCTCAATTCAGTCTGAAGTCAAGCGATAAGTAACAAAATTCAAATATGACGCAACAAATTTCAAAACAAGCATTGCTATGTTTTACCAAGAAATAACAAACTTCAAAAGGATTTCAGTTAATACAAATTTAGCCTTCTTTCTGAGTCTCTAACATCTAATTTACCTCAATGATGATCCAAGTATCCTCGAGAGGTCTTCTCAGAATCTGTGTACAAAAGACCATCTTTGTGAGAAGCTATCCATTGGTTTCATTATAGTAGAAATGATATTAAGAAAATGATATATAAGTATGTCGTTGTTACTCTTTGAGAGAGGAAGTTGGTGATGGTAGGTTTTGCACCAAAGCCCATCCCCAGATCTTTTGTGGTGGCAAATATGTAGTCATGTATTTAGTATTTGTAAGACTTTAACAGAAAACTAGCAAAAATGCCAATGATTCGCTACTGATAAAAGAAATATGTAATCATATTGTCAAAAATAGATCACTTATATTTTTACTCAATACTTTGCTATATGGCAAGCGATTTATATTGAATTGTTTTATATTATATTTAAATAGAGGAGAATTTGTCTTATAAAAATAAAAAGAGTACAAAAAATAAATATAAATATATATTTGCAAAAATATGTGATACATGTGTTTGAGCGAGAGTCCACCTTCATCATATATATGCAACCCATTTTCAGTAATATTGAAAAATATTATAACATTTTAGGCCAATTTATAAAAATTGCAGTGAGGATCCCCTCAAAAAAAACTGTAGTGGGGAAAGGTGCCCCACCTTGTTCTAAGGCCATTGCAACCTTTTAAAAGGGTAAAGATAATCATGTATATATGTTTTAAATTTATGTTCAATTATCGATTGTATGTATATTTTCAATTTGTACCAAATTTAGTTGGGATCCGTTAAGATGGACTAACATGGTACTAGTTGCATTAAAAACCAACTACTTTACTTTCATGGTTAAGCCAACCAGCCACCTTCTAAACGGTGTTAGTAATCAACCATTTCTTTACATTCTGCAGCATAGTAACAAAACATAAGCATATCTCACAAAAAATTGGCTTCTCATCCTCAATGCACAAGCAACCTCTAAAACAAGGCTGACAACAAGGTTCTTAACACCACATTTTAATCTGTCATTCTGTCTTAACATTGAGAAGGTGGAATTTCTTTTTTAAAACTCAGCATGTAAATATAATCAGAGTTTACAATTGCAGCTAGAAGAGCTCATGCATATCCTACGTCAAGATTCAATTATTAATACCTTTGACTTCACTAGAGTTTGATCCATTTTCATGAAATATTTGATAAGGGAATAACTCTTCCGCAAGTCATCAACCTCAGGTGGTTTAGTAAAAAATTTCCTATATAAAAACAATCAGAATGTCAAACTTATGACCTGATAGCCAGGTGAGATAAGAAAAGGACAAACAAAAGGATATGGCAAAGATACCTGAAAACTTCGCAGAGGTGTTTCGAAAGAGTTCTCTCATCTTTAGCAGGATGCTTTCTAACAAAGTGGATCATTTGTATAGTGATCAATACTGACCGGGCAATATCTTCTGCATAGCCTGGATGTGGATTTAACAGTCTTATCCAATTGCCCTCACTTGAAAGCACTGAGATCATAGGTTTCTCACAGTCAAGTTCCACCCTCCAAGCTTCGATACGCTTATACACAGGCTGACGGCCTTCACAGTCAATTCCACGAATGTATACACCCTTTTCAGAACCCAGCAGTCGATGTTCTTCATCAAACCAAAACGGCAGGATGCTGAAACAAACAAGGTCTTCATGGCTATCCTTACAAGCATATTGGTCTACGTCCTTCAACTGCGGGAACTCGTCGTCGTCGTCATCAAACAACGCCATTTGCTTGATTACCAGAAATATCACGTCCCTGAAAAGAAAAAGAAAACTCCTACTAGATTAGCATGATTTCAAGAAAAAATGCCAAAATAATAGTCAAACCAGAGGAACTGAGTAAAAATTAGAGCACCAGCACAAAAGGCAAAGCGGCTTAAATACTGGTTCACTGAACCAACACCCAAAGCAGAAGGTGAAGCAAGCAAATGCCAAGCGGCAAGTGAGATCGGTGCAAGAACCAAACAAGCCGTTTCGGCTGCATTGGCGCAAGAGATGGACCAAAAACCCGAAATCCCCCCCCCCCAAAAAAAAAAAAGAAAGTCATGGAAGAAGGTGATATATGAACGTCCGCAACCAGAGTATAATCATAGCGAATGACGGAAAGATCCGGCAAGATGCAAAGAACCATGCGGGCGGAGCAGAAGAAGGAGAGAGAGACCGCCAAGGCGAGCTCAAGAACCAAAACCACACCAAAATCGATCGCCCCCAAAACCTCGCAAAATCCACCCCCAAGAACACCCACCGCTGTTTCGGCAGGTGAGATCACGGAAGAACCAAACAAGCCGTATGTGTTGGAAAGAACAAAACTTGCATGAAAGAAAAAGCGACTCCCGAAGAACACGTCCGCCTTGGAAACAGGACAATAGAAAGACTACTCCTCCAAAATCGTGCCAGGAGGACCAAAACCCTACCATAATCCCCAAAGGAGACCGCCCAAGAACCAAAACCGCACGCCCAAGAACCGCCCCCAAAATCGCCAGGAACCCACATTGCGGGCGGAATCGAAAAGAACCGAACGATGAGAAAACATGGACCAAAAAAAACCTGCTACGACCCAAAGGGAGATAGCAGGAGCAACAAACCACCACCCCACAAAACCCTCTCCGCAGATCCACCCAACAACACACGGATCATAGTACGCTTTAGCACAGATGGGAGAGCAAACAGCCGCCGAGGCATCGGAGGCGGGGATCACAGGAGGAGAGGGGATGGATGGCGGAGGAAGAGCCTACCCCGATTGAACGAAGCTTGGAAGCAGGAGCACCGAGAGAGGAGGAGAGGAGAGGAGAGCCGAAAGCACCAGCACGGTCTCGAATTTTTTTTAAAAGTAATATGATTTTAATGGAAAATCGCAAAACTATAAGGCAGTTAGGCGAAATCGCAAGTTTAGCACCCTATCGAACAACCGTGGTTCGACAAGGTACCTATCGAACAACCACAGTTCGATAGTTCGACAGGTGATTAAAAAAATTAAAAAAAGAGAAAAATCACTGTTGCACACTGTTCACAATACCATATCGAACTAAGGCAGTTCGATATGTGCCTGCGAGCACTGTAGCATCACTGTAGCGCGCTGTTCACGCAACCCTATCGAACTTTGGCTGTTCGATATGTCCCTGCCTAGCATTGTAGTGATACTGTTCATGTAATTTTTTATTTGTTTTTGGACCACCTACCCTGTCGAACTGACGCAGTTCGACATGTACCTGTCGAACTGTGGTTGTTCGATAGGTATCCCTGTCGAACCGCGGTTGTTCGACAGGGTGCTAAACTTGCGATTTCGTCTCTAACTGACCTATAGTTTTGCGATTTTCCATTAAAATCATATTGCTTTTAAAAAAATTCGCACGGTCTCTTCAAGTCCTTTTGAGCACTCTCGGGTGCCCCTCTCTCTTCCTCTACTGTATTGATTCTCTTTTGTTTTGATGCGGTTACTGCATTGATTTTGATTTTGATTTTGATTTGATCGCGGGCGTCAAGTCCGCCGCGGCCTACGATATAAGAGGAGTAGGCTGTTCATGTTCATTGGCCTCATGGGCCATGCCACGACCCCACTACTTGCATGAGATGGAGTAGTGGCAGAGATGGGAAGTTAAAAAGGGAAACGACTCACGGGTTGTTTAGATGGTATTAAAAGGTTTTATCCCTTTCATATCGCATTTTTAACACTAATTAGAAGTATTAAATATAGATTATTGATAAAAATCTATTCTATAACTTAGACTAATTCGCGAGACGAATCTATTAAGGCTAATTAATCCATAATTAGCCTATGTGACGCTGCAATAAACATGTGCTAATTATGGATTAATTAGGCTTAAAAAATTTGTCGCACGAATTTGCTCTCATTTATGTAATTAGTTTTATAAGTAGTCTATATTTAATACTCCAAATTAATGTCAAACATCCGATGTGATAGGTACTAAAGTTTAAAGTTTAGTCCCTGGATCTAAACACCACCTCAATCTCTTTAGGCCCCATTTTAGTAGTAAGAATGAAATAATAGAGGAATATGAAAATTGTAAGATTTTAACGTGAATACAAGCGTAAAACATAAAATTGTAAAATACAGGAAAAAACTGCAATGACCGTTTGATTGAACTACAGGAAAAAACACAGGAATTTGAGGAGAGATAAAAACTCGGGACCCCTTTGATTTGAAGGAAAAAACATAGGAATTTTCCTATAAAGCCCTTCGAAACAAAGGATTGAATCATATCCAGTCCTTTGAAATTCCTATGGAATAAACAATCCTATATAGATTTTGGAGGAAATTTAGCAAGAGTTTCAACCTCTTGGTAACTTTCCTTTGAATCTATCTCTCTCATAGCTAATTCCCCATTATTTTAGTTATATTGACGGCCGAAATTTGTCTGTAACGACCATCAACACCCTCGTTGGCACGAGCCACCGCCGGATTCGTCGGATTGACCGGGGGCGAAGCACAGTGGCGGCGTAGGTCTAAGCCGTGCACCGCTCCGCCACCCGGGTCGCGCGGATTTTAAGCGGCGGGGACAAGGAGATCGACGACCTCCACGGTCTAGTCGACAGCCTGACCTCGCCAGAGAGAAAGGGGGGAGAGGTCCCGGTGGCAAAAAGGGGAGGGGAGAGGCCGGCGGCGGCCCTGCGGGGGAGAGAGAGGGGAGAGGCGCCAGGATGGGATGGAAGGGGATATGGTTGTGGGGGTGGGCCCAGTAGTGGTGGAGATTTGTATTCTTTTCTCGATTTTAGGGTGGTTACTATAATATTTTATACTAGCCCAGTGTTGCGCTTTGCCTTTGGCTAAAATCAACGATTACATGCTACAAGCATTGTTCCCTTAGACCATAGACGGTCCGGACCACGTCTTGACGCGCGATGGATTATCGTATAATTTAGAACCTAAACCATGAATTAGGCCGTTTAACTGTCTAGACAGTTAAAGATGGCTCTAGACTGTCTAGACCACACAGTTAAACAACAGTGAGATGAGTTTAAACCATAAAAATATCATTTAGACTACTGTCTAGGTAATGGACCAATACATTTTTAGAGTGGCAGGAGGTAAAACTTCGTGTTTCGCCCAAGGTCCATATGGCTTATGGTTTTAACACCATTCCAAACCCTTCTCCTCAACTCTAAAACCTCACATTGCCATGAAGTCACATCGCCTCTCATCTGGTAGTCAACGCTGTGGACCTTGCTCCCCCCCCCTCCTCTTCGACCCACAGCCCTACGCTAATGGCTGCACCTGTCACAGCACCGCTAGTTCTTGAATATTATATGAAACATATTAAGTGTATTTACATGTGTACCAAAAAAATATGCCGATAGTATATTGTATGGTATATCGTCTGTCGGTGATATGGGACCGGGAGTATCGTGACCAGAGGCTTGAGGCAGACACAATCGCCCATGTGGCCTGGCACCCTCGGGGACGTCGGGCCCGAGGGTGAGGTGTCCGCCCTCCTCACTGATTTCCCCGAGGGGGGTCGGGTGACACCTATCCTGGCCCCGAGGGCCGAGGCGCCCCGACCCCTCGCGTTTCTTCTCCACGTGTATGGGTTAGGTGAGCACAGCGGGGCTCACCTAACCGCATTTATTGCGCCTCGGCTAAGCGTGTCACGCCGCACGAAGTGTAGTGCAGTGCACTCGATTATCCGGTCTGTGACCAGTCACAGACCGGTCAAATCGCGGGTTAGGTGGCGACAGGCGGTCTGGCGCACGCTTCGCCCCATCCCGTCAAGACGAGAGCTTCTAGGCACTCGTCCCCGGCTGGAGCTAGCGTGTTACATCCCAGAGATGACACGTTAGCCCCGATCGATATATGCCAGGCTTCATCCTAACCATTACAAGCAAGATGTTATTTGAAGAAGGGCAAACATGCACGTTGCTAAGCCGACGCGTGGTGGACAAGAATGACCGATTTGTGACCGGTCTGACACTGCTCATGTCGTCAGCACACAGCCACTTTCCCACGATGTGCCCACCTCAGGCAGAAGTGGAGGTAGGTGTGTGCCGTCCCGTCAGGAGGGTGTTCGGAGGATGACCGTGCAAATCTCCGTCCATTTATGAAGAGAAGAAAAGTCCAGTTTGGAAAGGGAGGGGTGCATGTGGTATCCCCTTGAAGTATAAAAGGAGGACCTTGCCCATAGAGAAGGGGGATGATCTTTTCCAGATTCGGAACCTAGAGCAAGGGAGAGGTTAGCTGACACTTTGTAGCTCCTTCTTACACAGATCCACCAAAACACAGGAGTAGGGTATTACGCTTCTCAGCGGCCTGAACCTGTATACATCGCTTGAGTTTCATGCTCTTTTGAGAGGTCGCGATCTTCCCACATACACGGAGAGCTTGAGATCTCACCCTGAGCCCCCGGCCGAACCGGCAAAGGGGGGCCTGTGCGGTCTCCCGGTGAGGAGCACCGCGCTCCGTCATCTGGCGCGCCAGGTAGGGGGCTCAGCGTGTGTTTTCTGAGCTCTCGCACTTTTCCGTGTGCGTCAAGTTTTTCTTGATCAGCCTCATGGCTGAGCAAGCAAAGGCGCCCGACCTCTCTCCCAGTGTGAGTGGCGACGACGGGGAGCCGAACCCACGCCGTCGAGCTCGTACTCCACCGCCCCCTCCACGCCAAAGTCCTAAGCAGGGGGAGGCGCTCGAAAGGGTCGAAAGATTCGCGGCTTCACCGATCGCGGGCGATGGGGGAGAACGGCGAGATGGGGACCGTCGCCTCCTCGTCTACGGCGATGGCAGCACGCCCCAGGGCGCGCTCCAAGCTGCGGGCGCGCTCTTACGCCACCCGCCTGTCGTCCCTGACCCGGAGTCTCCAGCCCAACGATGGCTGGACGATGTGGCCAAATTGGTCATGACGGCACGGCAGCGCCTAGATGCTGGTGGGCGGTCCTCCGCCACCAAGGCCTCTGGTGCTGCTACCACCGGCTCCGCATCGTCAAGACGAAGGGCACGACGAGCGGCAGCCGCTGTTCGCCGTTCGGCTGCCACTCCTTCGTCGACTCCTTCGACCCGGGAAGATCTGCGTGGGGAGCAGGACGCCCGCGCCAGCATCGAGCGCCGGCGTAATGACCGAAGTGCTGCCCACGCAACGGAGGGCGCTTCCTCGTCCAGAGTGTCACCTCGACACGGACGTGGGAATCAGCCCTCCGTGCCCCCGGTTGGTGGTGTCGGCTGTAGAGCCTTTGTGGCGAGTCTTCGGAATGTCCGTTGGCCCCCAAGGTTCCGGCCCACCATCGCCGAAAAATATGATGGCAGCGTCAACCCCGCCGAGTTTCTCCAGGTCTACACGACCGGGATTGAGGCCGCCGGGGGAGACGACAGGGTCATGGCGAATTTCTTTCCCATGGCCCCGAAGGGGCAAGCGCGGGGTTGGCTAATGAACTTGCCACCCGCGTCTGTCCACTCCTGGGAGGATTTGTGCCAGCAGTTCACCATGAACTTCCAAGGCACGTATCCGCGCCCCGGTGAGGAAGCGGACTTGCACGCCGTACAGCGAAGGGACGATGAGTCGCTTCGATCGTACATTTAGCGGTTCTGTCAAGTCCGCAATACTATACCATGCATCCCTGCACACGCGGTAATCTACGCGTTCAGGGGGGGCGTGCGGCACAACCGCATGCTCGAAAAGATCGCCTCCAAAGAGCCCCAGACTACCGCAGAGCTTTTTCAGCTCGCGGACCGAGTGGCTCGCAAGGAGGAGGCCTGGACTTGGAACCCCTCCGGTTCCGGTGTGGCAGC